ATCTAGGGTGGTCTAGTAGGGTTCCTAGAGAGTCATCAAATGTTAAATTGGAAGAATCTGGATCTCTGTATACTGGCTGGCTCTGAAAGGAGTACAGATGCATCTTGCCTAATTTATCGCTAGGTATCTGTGTTAGCACAGCAGTGTCATAGCCAACAGAGGAACACAAGCATTTCCACCAGACAACTTTTACTGACCTAGGTTTTTGCCCTGCCTCTCTGTCTGGAGACTCAGAGACACTAGTGCAAACAGCTTTCTGTTCCTCCTTTATGAGGTTATAGTTACCTTCCTGGAAAGATCCATACCAAATAAAAGCATCCTCATACTGGTACAAGTCCTAAAAAATAAAGGAACTAATATGGGATTTTAGATTTGTATTCCTGAAATTTCAGTGAGATTTGTATGTTCAGCCTGAACATCTTTGTGGATCTAGCCAAAGGATGTATTCTTTTAATGTCTGCATCAACTACATTTAAATAAAACTAAGACTCTGGGGTTCTTCCTCTGGAGTTTTACTCAGCTATGTCAATTTAAGCTCATACACCCTATGTTCAAGATTCTTTCAGACTTCAAAAGATGCTGAAACTTTAACTGATAATTTACACAAGAAAGGTCTATAAGAGCTGCATGTAATAAGGACAATCCAGATATAAAAGACATAGCAAAAATGTTGGCAGCCAAATTAATAACTGGTAGAAGTCTTCAAAATGCCCAAGGCTTTTTAGGGGCTCAAGTCCTTTTCCAGTTTATCCTTTAAATTATCTGCATGCATCTTGACTAAAAAGGATAAATTATAGATACGACTTAGCTAGTAATATCAATACAGTCTTTTGGCCACAATGAACAGTAATTTCTTTTTTTATGAATAGATGTCAGGAAGGTATTTGTTTGGGTTAAATGGACTAGTCTTCTCAATATTTTTTATTTGGGAAGTGTGTTTTGGTCTGATTATGGTCTTTTGTGTTAATCTTCTCTCCAAGATATTAAGCATTTATTCCCCAGAAAAAAAGGCAAGGATAACCATCAGGCCAGGTATGATCAACAGACTGCAATTGGTGGGCAGATTTGGACTCAATTTTTATACCGAACACAGGAAGGACTGTCCCTACTGAAAATAATTAAAGGTCCAAAGTTCCTATCCAGAAAGTTACTGAGATTTTCCTACTTTCACTGAAATCAATACCAGTTACAAACCTACATGACTTTGTAGATCTGGTGCCAGGTAGTGACAGTGTTATAACAGGAGTCAGACAACAATGTATAGAAATTATTAGTTCTTATCTAACCAATCTTCTTACCCTATAGTAGTGATTTTTTTTTCTAATTTTTTTCTGAGTTTTATCTTGCCTTATAATACAAGATTAATTACTTCTAGCCCAAATATTGCCAATATTAATACCAGAACTTTTTGGAAATGTGTGGGTGGATGGATGGATGGATGGATGGATGGATGGATGGATGGATGGATGGATGGATGGATGGATATTAGATCTCTTCTTAATGGGCTAAAAGTACATTGAATACTTAGGGATTTGTTTAACCTCAGATAATCACCACATGAATAAAGTAAATTTTGTGGAGATAATTAATCAACTTCAGAGAAAAGCTTGCAAATGGGCACCTTTATTCATTAGCTGACTGGAAAGAGCCAATGAAGCATGAATTGATTACCTGGAATACATTACCTTTTCTAGATGCTGCCAACTGTGGTTCCTTCTTCCTTTCTGCAGTACATTAAGCAGAATCATGACTTCTGTTATTTGGACTAGAAAGACATTGAGTTTGCATTTAAAATTAATTCAAAAATCAATACAACCAAAAGACTTACTAAGTCCATATTTCAAACTTATATCATCTGGTTGTAGTTTGAAATAGAGGGATAACCACTACTGGAACAAGATTAAGGTAAAAGAGCTTCAGTCTGGAAAACAATTCTTGATAAATTAATTGAATTTCCCCTACATTCCAGGATCCATGAGAAAATATTTTAGGTAAACTAAAATCCAATGAGAACTTTCATACATAGTTATGACAAAATATTAATTTCCCTAACCTACAAATTTAAAACCTGACAAATAAAAGCATGGACATGAGCATATCTCTCCCTAGGCTAGGATGGATTATCTTTACACCCAAATTGTCAAGCATTATAATTGTTTATGGTTATGTTACCACTTGAAACAGAGCATTTTGAAAAAATTCTTATCAGGACAGATCCAAATCCCATAATCTTTTAATTTGTTTCAATATAATAATCTCTATACTTTTACTCACAAATAATCTACGCAGCACATTCCACCTAAATAGCTGCAGAGAGGAGACACAGAGGTAGGTCTGACATAAATAAAAAATAAAAGTGAAGTACATGTTTGTGCTCCACACAAACAGCAAGCTGCAAAAAACATGTGGACCCCAGTCCCTATATCAGGGAAGACGACACACTTATCCCAAGATTCACAGAGTGGCAGCTTTTTATTATTCTAAGAGCCAAAGAAAAATCCTGTGAATCACAGCACTGAAGAGTAGTCCTGGATGCTGATACCATATCAGGCTGGGGAGGATGAGGAGAAGAAAATGGAGTAATCATAAAACTGAAAGCATCAATACTCCTCTCCTTGATAAATCTGCATGGGTGTCTGCTGTAGCCATGCAGTAAACTAGTTGTTTTACAAAAAGTCTAAAACATTCAGTCATTGCATGAAATGACTGCTTCAATCCCAGACATGACTAAAATTTTCAATTATTTCAGAAAATTCCCAGATATCATAGATAGACATTGTGGGAAATGCCTAACCTTGATTTCTTTTGGATCATGGGACAAGTCAAAGAATGTTTCAATTACATTTATTTATAAAGCTATATACTCATATTTGTACCTAAAACTACATAGCAGTACACACTGCAGAACTAACATTTATTTTCAAAATTGAGACTATTTCAGAAAGGTTTGTTTTTTTTTTTAATTTTTCAAAAAATACTCTAAAACAGGTAACAGGGACTCAGAGTGGAGGTGTAGGAGGGTGGGATCTAAACATGTATATGACTAGACAATACCAAAAAGGAAGTCAATTTTTCCTATCATTTATTCCTTGTCCATGTCTGTATTCAAGATTCAACATTCAAACTTTTAATTTGCTTGGCTCTTTCTATCAAATGAAACATCACAAGCTTCTCCAATGATGTAATGCTGAGATTCCTGTAGCCATGAGAGGAAATCTGAGTCCTACCTATATGCAGCAGACGTGCTACTTACGGTAGCAACCCTGGGACTAGGGTGACCTCCTGCTTGTGCCTTCATTTACATAGCTCATTGCAGTCAGCTTCCACTCTCAGTGTTGCTATAGAGGTTTGCTAAAGACATTCCCCCCTTCAGTGATAACCTGATGGTTTAACCCTTGCTAGTGTTAGAACTTAATACCCATGCTTACCTGCCAAGGAAAGGCTCCATGTCAGAAGTCCCTGAATGAATAACTCACGAGAGCAAGCGATAGTGTGTTACACTCCACTAACGAGCACCATCAGGTGGTGACTATGGCCCAGGGGAGCAATCCCAGCTGCAAAAACTCTAAAGAGTGCCGCTGTTATGGCGGAGTACCCACTGCCTGCCAAACTGGGGAAAGATATATTTGAGAGGTGTAGAAGGAAAACACATGCAGATCCACTGACAAGTCTGCCAACAGCCATGAGGGTTGCTGACACTTTCTGGCCTTATGATTTTTTTTTATTTTTTTTTTTTTTTTTTTACTTAATAGATTATGGACAAAGAATGGAATCATAGGACCAGCTAAAGATGTGCCCTGAGACCCTGTCACATGCCTGGAAGGGATAGAGTGAGTTGGTTTTCTCCAGGTCAATCTTACCCTCTCCTGAATTTCTAACTTTGGAGCAATTTCTAGCACCCTGCTCCACTACAGCCAATATCAGAGCAGCAGGAGTCTTGGGTCATTCATGTGACAGCCCTTCCTGGAATTTTTGAATCCTAATGTGTCCTGATGGTCTGAAACTGAAAATGAACCTACTAATCTCCTGAAGCACCTCTGAATAAAAGCATGATTTTGGTGTTGTGTGGGAGCCAAACAGAAGGGACTCCCACCCGAAGAACAACATTTTCTCCTTCACACTCCAATGAACAAACTGAAAGAAATAACCTACAAAGAATACAGATATTAAAAGAAGACAACCTACTCAGACAAATTTTGAGTGTAAGAAAGTTCCCAGAAGGAGAATCACCAAAAGGACATGTTGTCCCATGGCTGGGGAATTTCCAAAGGACTGAAAAATGCATGACTGGTCCTTTGCTTTGTATCACTGTCATTGTTTATTAATTCCCTGAATAGTAAGAAGTGGCTAGAGACATTATTTCCCACATAACCACAGTGTGAAAGCACATGGATAATGCCAGGATTCACCTTCTGTCAGTTTATAAAACCAAGTGAAATAGGCATATCATCCAGAACACCTGTAATTCCAGTCAGTTGGCAAAAATACCTGAAACCTTTAATTATTTCATGAAAGGAGTGATTTCACAAGATGACAGTAATAAGCACAGACACAGAGACATACATACATTTTAAAATACTGCAGTGTATGCTTACACGTATATATATGCATGCCAAACTAAACACACAGAAGCCAGTTGTTAAAGGAATTGGCTGATTATTTCCCATTTCCATCAGCTGTCTCCTGCCTCTGCAACGATCACTCAGTCCAAACGAATGACCCTTGTGCTGTAAAGAACAGTTTGTCTTTTCAAAGTGTGATTTGTCAGCTAGGATAATACTGCCTTAGCTTTTGCACTGTCCTCCACTGCGTTCCTATATGGTTCCCTAGTACCTGGAGACCAATGAATCAAAATCATTCAGATTCCAGTTCCAGTCCCACCAATGGCTGCACATCACATAAAATGCCACTTTGGTTGTTGCTGTTTTATACTACAGGAATATGACAATGTTGTCTTTTTATACTACAAGAAAAAAGTTTCTGAAATTTTCTATTAATTTTTCCACTTCTTTCCTGAACTAACTTGGCAGTTCCAGATTTCTCATCTCATGCTTCACAAATTAAATACTATAAAAAGATGAGAGACTTTCATTTTAGGAGAGTGATATCACTTATGATTTTATTTATTTTATTTTATTTTCACTTCAGTCACAACTTTTTATATTTCCTCTTGTTGCATTTTAGGCTAAAAGAGATAATCTAAGATGACTGTGCTGTTCTCCCAAGCCACAGCCTGTCAGATTGCTGAATTATCAGTACCTAGTCAAGCAGCGCAGTAGAAACAGATCACATATGCCAATTCCCCCCTACTTGGTAACCACTTTCCAGTCACTGGAGGAAAGTACACAGTCCAATCTCTCTTTTGCATGATCAAAGTTAGTTCAACTCTACAGCTTAGCAGATGTCCTTGGGCAGCAGGTGGTCCAATGAATTATATCAGAGAAACCAATAAGTTGTGTATTATTCTGGAGACTCTTAGCCCTCTAACTTGTTAAAAGAACACATTCCCTTTTTCTTTTCTCCTTTTTTAATGAATTTTCAATAAGGCTGCCAACTTTCTTTAAAAATAGTCGTAAAGAAAATACAGCAATGAAACTGCTTTCTAAAACAATATTTAGAAATCTAACATCCATTGTTGTCATCTGGAAACAAAATGTGGGATGAGAAAATATGCCAAAAATATCCTACAAATATCATGCACATTGACATCCTTCTATTCAAGCTGTTCTGACTGGAGCTATTCTGACTTACACCAACAGGAAACCCTCCCCATATTTGTCATGTCAACACAGATCAGAAGGGAGCACAACCTGTGCTGTCAAAACCGCTTAGAAACACCCTAAAGACAATGACCACAAAAGTCACGTCACATAACTATACAGAGAAGCCACAAGTCCTTAATGCATTGTTGAGATTTTTGGTTTGTTTGTTTTTTTTTTTTTTTTTCTATTGAGAAATGACACAAATGTTGGCCAATAGTTTAACCATATCCACCTTCTTCACAATATAACTATGATTCATATTCACTTCGATTTCAACCTCAGAGTATCTATTAACAGTCATGCCTCCAGGCAGAAGTGATGTTTTATGTCTAACAAAGAGGACAGGGAGCCCAATCATCTGCATTCCATCCCTGTTTCCACAAGACTTTATTTGTGAACTTGGCAAGCTTTACATCTTCTATGTTCCTCAGTTATCCCACATGTGAAATCAGGATATCGACCTTCCCTCACTCACCAGGAAGTTGTGAAGTTTAGTTTATGTTTAAACAGTTGTTTTAAGGTGCTTGGAAGAAAGGAGTGTACATGTAAATGATTTCCTATCTGTATTAGGCTACTGATGCTGAAAAATATAATGGAATGTACACAGATGAATATAGATCTTTTTCCGTATATACAGACTCCAAATTCCAGCAGCTGCAAGAATTAACAGAAGAAATGAGGAGTGATCTGCATTTTCTTCTGTACGGTAAGAGCTATATATTACAGTCTATTTTAAACAATAGTAGAGTCATGCTACTAAAAATGAGCTAGAAAGTTATTTAGGAAAGTAAAAGGATGGAGTCTTAAGGATCTCTTCTCCCACAGTTTAACTTCCCTTTATTTTTGCTTTTGGCATACTTTAAGCCAAAAAAAAAAAAAAAAAAAACAACAACAACAACAACAAAACAAAAACAAACAAACAAACAAACAAAAAAAAAAAAAAAAAAAAAAACAAGGAGGATGGCAGCAGATTTGTATGCAGTGACAGGTTTAACAAATCTCCTGATAATTGTGTGTGACCTGTTAGGAAGAACAAATTGAAGAGTAAAAATGGAGTCTGCAAACATGTTGCTTTCTTCCTCAATGGATACCTTTCCTTCTGCATTCAGGGATTATGTATTTACTTGTCAGCAAAAATAAGTTGCTGCTTTTCACTTCTCTTAGATTTGCACAGCCAGCACAGTAAAAAGAATGTGAATTAATCTATTAGTACTTGTGCATCATCAATACATATTTTTACAGAATCCTCATGCTTTCAAGACAGCAGAGTTACATGATTAAATTCAAAATTAACACTGTGGAGGAAGAGAAGTCAGACACTCAATGGCCTTGTACTTTTTCTCCATTCTGTGAAAACTGTGTATAAAAAGCTCCCAAGGCAACATTCCCTACGGATATGCATAGGCCAGAGGAGAGTTTTACAGCCAGTTTGCAGCTACTTTTCACACAGGTATAAATGACTGCATAACATTTAAGGCAGTGCTGAGTGCCTTGTATTATTATATAATGTGTCCTCCGGAGCTGTTATGGCTTTTGATGATGCTCAAGAAAAAAAGAAATCAACTTTGTTCTGAAAACTTGAGTAAAATATGCAGAACTGGTACCTAGCAGAAAGAAGACAGGCAGGATAAACTTTGAGCTCTATGATATTTCTAAAGAGTTGTTTTCCTGGAAGGGTTGCACTTTAAGGACTTAATCATAGCTCTTGAACATCATTAGCACCCAAGAAAGGTGTCACTGTGCACATGAAGCAAACCACCCTGACAGCACTGGATAGCACTGCATGCTTCACCCTCACAACCTCCAAAACTGGACTGTCCAAGGGAAGGGGCAGGTGCCCAGTGGTGAAATTTGCTTTGTCCCACCATGGCAGTGTCTTAATGCTGGTTTACCTTCTCTCGTAAAACAGACAGAAAAGTTATGAGAAATCTGAGGCTAGAAAATCCTCCAAGCCCCTGGGACCAAACCCTAAATGGCTCCTTAAAGTGTAGACAGCTTTCAAAAAGACCTTTATGCCCTGTATATAGAGTAACATGCAGGGAAAAGTATTGAAATAAAGGGCCTAAATTGCAGAGGCCATTCATGCCAGAGTTGGGATTTCCCTTCTGTTTAAGAGTCTGTTCTGTACTCTGATGTTAGAGCGGAGATCTGGTTAGTAGTACATGAGTCTCTGCCTTGAAAATATGAGTCATATGTCTGTTTTCACTTTCTACTCAGCAGCAGAGGATAGCACATCAGAGCCAACTTCTACCCTCAGATCTACACACATGTAGCCTGCTATTTTTTTTCTGTCCAAAAAGAGGAGAATTTAGCTCTCCTTTATATTATCTCATATTTATAATCAAAACATCAGCAACATCTTGCATAAAATTTTTACCCACAGTACATATGTAGCCACTGTGACCACAAAGATACCCACACACTTAACCTGCATTGTCATTCTGAAGCATTGAAAACTGTGTTTTTCATCCTAAATGTAGATCTCTTCCTCCAAGAAAGTCGATGTTAAAAATTCCTCAAACTCCCTAGAATCTGATCCTGGCTTTGAGAAATTCCCACAATTCAGAGCAAGCTCTGTAAGTAATTCAGGTGCCTAATCACAGATGTCCTAGTGTGTCTGAAGGATTCTGCCACAGGACCAAATGCAGAACCTTTTGGGACCAACAAGACAACCTGACAGAGAAAGAGCTAGAGGCCAGGTAAGATATCCTTGATCATGTGAAAACACATCTGTGTTCAGTCAATTAAATCCCATTTGGTCAATCTTTGCACAGGTTTCTTCAGTGAGTGCTGCATTAGGTGCCTGGGGCTTTATTTGAAGAGGGAGATAGTCTATTAAAAATACAGATAAAAATCCACTGGTATATTCAAAAAGACAAGGGAATATTTCTAAAAAGCCCACTCACCAGTCCTTGGCTGCACCATTACACATCCATGCAGCTCTGAAAATACTGGTCAGAGTCTGCAACTTCTTACAAAGAATGCAAAAATCCATCTTTTATATGGTGAGAAAGCACTGTGTTTCCTTTCTGTGGCTTTACATAAGAAAAAAAAAAATTGTTATTTCTACATCTATTGCTCCATCTCTATATCATTGTTATCTCACTATAGATAAAAATACATTAGTAAAAAATGTACAGCAGTTCTAGGCAAAGTAGCATTCATCACTATTGTGTATTTCAAAGCAGATGGGCAGAAATTCACCAGTGGGACAGTTTAAAGTCTGTTGGATTATCATTTTCCCCCTCATTCACATGGCATTATGAGAGATCAAAACAAGGGGCTCCGAAAAATGCAAACTTTCAGAAAGCTACACCAAAGGAGAAGGTGAAATATAATGTGATTTGCCATTACAGCCACAAAGTCACAAAGTACTGAGAAAGAATAAAGCTGAATGTTTAACAGTATCAGGTAAGTAGGGATGGCAAAGGGGGGAGAAAATGCCTGTTAAATTACCCTTATCCAGATGTGATCAGATTTCTGCAGAAAACATGGAGCTGAAGGTAGTTCAGTTACAGCAGTGAAATTACAGTAAATGGAGTTACTCAAGTTCCTGTCTTTTAAAGACTAGTAGAAGTGTTCAATGGAGCCCTGAAATTCTGCACTGATGAGGATTTTATTAGTACATAGATGGATGAATGGATGTAAAACCAGATAAGTAAATTTGTACTTAGAGAAGAAGGATGATTATTTTGCCTAATAAAAGAGAAAAGAGTTTAGAACTGGGCTCAGTGCCCTGATTTTAAGACAAATTGATCCAGACTTCAAGATTTTCCACTATGTCAAAGAAATGAAAAAGGGTATGGCCCTCTAAAAATAAATGTGTTGCAGATAATATATGGTGTTGATACCTTTCTATAGATAAACTTCAGACAGTAGTATATTTCATGACTTAGGAAAGTCGGTGGAACAATTATGTCTGCAATTACGTAAGTCTGTTCTATTTTGACTTTAGCCTAGTTTCATTATATTTTAGGTTTTAACCCGAATCGTCATAGGCTTTAATGACTTTAACAGAGATCCTTCTAATTTAAACCAATGTCAGCAAGAGCTAAATCAAGTGCTTTGTGTTCATATGATTAAAAATAGACTTCACAGAGCCATTCAAGTATCTTACTTTTATAGCTGAGGAGTAGAATCAACAGCTTGTACCTAACACGAATGTAAGAGAAATTAATTCATTGGACAGACATTCTTCACTGCATTTTGGATGACTGCTTACAAAAAAAAAGTATGTAAGATTCTTTCTTTCCAATACCTCAGTCACTACAAATATAACTGCAAGACAAGGAGCATTAGAAAGGCTGTTTATCATATCATGAAATCCAGCCACATGAAAGATATTGCCCAAGAACTAAGATTAGAAAAGTGATACTCATATGATATAACTATGATAAAAATCCACTGACTTTATTACCACCAGAATTATTATTTTCAAAGAAAAGTAAATGGCTTCAAAGCCATCAGCTGGTAGGTAGAAAAATCACTGTGTTCTATTAAACAAGGGTTGAATGTCTCTCATTTAGTGAAATGTTGGATATGTTTGTTCCTGTTCACACCTACTGCTGGCCCACTAGCTCTGATATTCCCCAAAGGGAGTAGAGCAGCTCTGTTTTCTGCCCACCTGAAATAACCTGTTGTTTCTGTAATCTCAACACAATTTTCATGCCTGAACTTTTTGGAAGGGAAGCTAAGTAGTATACAGCACACGCAAATATAAGCCAAACTCCTACCTGCATCTTCAGCTGACAGAACTGTTCTTGTAAATTCTGTAGAACTTACTTAGGTGCAAAGATTGTTAGTTGGGAACTAATGCTACTGTAATACACAGGTGATAGCTGACTACTAACAAACCTCTTAATTTGTACCCAACTCTGTATCATAAAGTGAGGAGATAACAGCTTATGTAAGCTATAAATCAGTATCTATCTGAAATATCTCTTCTCTCTGAAGGCTAAATCACCCCAGGAAAGCTGCCCTAAAACCTGAAGCCACAAAAACAATTTTTCAAAGGCATCTAAATGACTTCAGTTCAGCTTTCTGCCATATTCAAACAGTGACATAATTGGTGCATTCAATAAGCTACTAAGCCTTAGTATTCATTGCCCACCTTTAACAGTTGTGATCCTGTCAGCTGAGAATGGGCTGAAAGAGTGTTCCTGCTCCCTTTCAAAGCAAAAATAGAACTGCTTAAACCACCCTTCAGACATGTATGCAATCTCCAAACATTAACACAGATCCTCTTTCTGGCATTTGTTCCTAACATGTTTTCAGCCCATTTGAGACAGAAGAATTATTTTATTCATCTTTTTTATTCCTGTTTCAGAGTAGCAACCACAGTATTCTGTGTGCGCAGCATCTGCCACAACATGGCACTGCCCCACATGGTAGCTCCTACTCATTGTCATAATCGTAATCTCCAAGCTTTCACCTTTCATGAGGACATGGTGCCACCAGGGACTTATGTAGCCATCATGTATTAAAAAAAAAACAGTAATATAACACTAGCGGGAAGTCCCAGCAAAAGTTCACTGCAGAAGCAGTGTTTTAAGTAGCCTGATTTCTGACCACAGTTTGAGCATGATCTCAATATTATTAAGTGATGATGACGCATGCCATATGCCGTACTGTGGCCAATGTGGAGTGCAACAGTATTTGAAAATTACTTGAAGTATGTGCAGAGGGGAGCGACTAGTGTTATCCACATGCACTAAAGAGAGCTGAAAAGCAGAATGAAACTGGTTATTCAGCTTTGCAACTGTTCAGGCAGGTGAAAGTTTACTGTGTCCGTGTGATCCAGTGTCAGCACACTAACATTGCAGAAAAAAAGTTGTAATAAATTTGGAGAAAGCCCTATAAATCTTGAAAGTTGAAAGTGTCCTTATTCTAAAACAAATGAACTCAGATTCAACTCTCCATGTGATAATTCGGTGAAGAATAGCAATGAGATGGTTTAATATGATGGAGCAAAACAATTCTCTGGGACATCCCAGGCTGACCCAGTGGTCTTCTGTCCTGGGAAACAGAAATCAGGTTTGACGCTCTAAAGTGGGTGGAAGGATGTTGTTATTCGGCAATAACATCTCAGTAACATGTTATTTTTTCTGAAGTACTTCTCTTCACACACATGATGCTGTGCATTTGTTTCTGCAGCACATTTTGCCCTTTTATAATTCTGTATATTTCAATGCAACATTTAATATACTGAGTCATCTTTTTGCCCCCGTGTTTAAGCCTCCAGTTTCAAGCTTGCAGACACTCTTGCTGGCACTTCAGCCCTGTAGAACTGGCTAGGCCCATCTTCTATGACCTATCTTGCTTCCTTGTCTGTACAAGGGGCAATGCATATTTGTAATAAAGACATGTCTCAGCAGATTACATCCCCTCTAGGGCTGTACAAACAACCTTTATCAACCTTTAACTTGCCCAATGCAACACTCAAAGGCAGGTCACAAAAAAAAAAAATCCCTTCCCATTTCTCAACTGCTTCTTCCCTGAGGCAAGCAGGAGTTAGCAGTGACCCTCAAAGTATAGACAGTGCCAGGACAACACCCTCCAGTGCAGAAAAGTAGTCTGATTTAGTCTGTGTAACAGGTAACACGACCTTATCTACTGAACGCACAAAGTAGCCAGTTCTAGTCCTTAGAGCACTAGCTAGGGACTTCAATGTTTTTTAATTGAGTGTGCTTAAATCCTTGATATTCCGTAGCCTCACTGTGGAAACCTTTGTAAGTCACTTAGGATAAGCTCCAACCTATATCAGACATCTAGTCTAATACAGCTCTTCAAAATGTCAACTGTTGGTAGCAGCAGAGGGGATCCAGGTGGGAGTCTGATCCCTGTGGAGCAAGTTCTGGGCAAACCAGGAACTGGAACAGGGGTCTGCATTCAGGTCAAAGTCCCTTTCGCTGGGGGGATTAGGTACTGAAAGTTTGTCTTCTACGTCTAAATGGGTCACTACGGACTCTGTTTACTGAATGCACCCAGAACAAGTGGTATCAACATTTGCCTGTGCAAAACATTGTGGAACATTTTTAAATACCAAACAAATGTTTAAACATCACCATCTGGTTGTAGATATATCAATACAAACAACCAAACATGATACAACTAAGTAAGTGTGTTAATCAGCGCCTGATGATTAATTCCCATGTTATTTCCCTGCTTCCCCACCATTTGGTTATTCTTATGTCTTGTAGACCCAGGGTCCTTCACTCAGGGGTTCTTCCATATGTGCACGTGCCTACATACACACACACAAGCACACAAGCATGCACATCTAATTAGCTCTAGGCACAGTGGGATTCCAGTTCCAACCAAGACCTTTGAATCACCCATATTATAAATTTCAAATAATGAAAATAATGGAAAACCCATGAACAGGGAAAAAAAAAAAAAAAAAGGGACAACTGTTGCCCAGATGCAGTCTGCCCCCAGGTCTAATTAGACACCAGTAGCTCTGCCACACACTTCATCCATCAGACTATGCTGCCTCTCACTTCAATTACAATGAGGCTGGGTGTGCAAAGTTGGATGAATACAAAAAAACATTTTGTCTTTCTTCAGCCCTGTTGGTTGGCTCAGTCATACTTCGCTGAACACAGTAATCCTACAAGCCACCATCCCTTAAGAAAAAAAAAATGTATTTCAGAGTGCCAAGATCCAAGTGACTCAAAGAAAATCACATCTTTCAGTGGTTTTGTTAGCCATATTTCCTCCCATGACACTTTTTCTTCTTTTTTATGCAGCAGAGGGTCCTGTTTTCAAAGGATGGGTTTCTCATTATCTCATCCCAATCTGAGAAAGAAAGGAAGATAGAGCAGAAATCAGCTGAAGTGATGTGTTTTTCTCATTATCCTCAACTGCCCTTTAGTATTTTGTTTCTCATCCTCCCAATCCTCTGTCAGCTGACACTCCTATTTTGGCAAAAAGGTTGCCTGTGTAAGGATAAAGAACTGAAACTGAATCTCTCCTTAAATTTCCCTGTTATTACCTATTTGTAACAGGGACTAAAAAAGACATCTTTCTCACATAAACCTGACAGCCACAAACTGTATGGATAAGTGTTTCTCCCCTCCTTCATGACTCTTTGAAACATCTTCCAGGTGAACTGTGGGAGAGATGATAGCTAGTAATGCTTTGATAATTGTGGAATATTTCCGTGAAGTGTATGTCTGAAATAGATATAAAGCCACAGTCTCTTCCATAAATACTAGTAAGAAACATATTTTATCTAATGCTAAGTGAATTTACCAGCAGCAACAGGAATAAAATGCATCTACACCACCCCAATATTCTCGTGCTGCTGAAGAATTACATATAAGAACAAAAGAGGTTTCTGTGGTTTACTGTGTGCACATTTGAACTTGTCTGTGAATGGGAATAAAATTTCAAAATTTAAATGTCAGATTTGTAATTTAAATACCCAAAGGTAGGCAAACTGGGTAGCTAATTTTCCAGCCTTCTTGTATAGTTGTAGATGAGAGATGGAATTTTTTTTTTTTTTTTTTCATTTATTCAGATATCAGAGTTCTGGACACACAGCAAGTACTGTTTTCTTGAAAAACTTCATACAAAATTATTATGAAAAAATTTCTTCAAGTATCTAAATATAAGTAGACTTTGTTCTGGCAGCAAAACTTGATAGCTGCTACAACGTAGGTGAAATTTTCCTTTTTGAGAGAAGGTTTACACTAATGACCAAATTTTTCAGATTCTTTAACTTCAACTCTAAAACTTGAACTGATTTTTGCAGTATAATTTCCAAGAAAAGTGAACCCTTTATATGTGGCACATTCTGCTTTGCAGCTCACTTTTCCTTTCTTGAAGATTCATGAAGAGGAGGTATGTGCCACATAATACTCTTCTCGACTGACCAACTGCATTGTATAATCTAATAGATGATGGATATTCTCAGGCAGCCAGGTTCTCTCCTCTGAACGTCTATAAAACAAAAATGTTATAACTCCACCTCAAAAAGAATGAATGACGGAGAAACAATACAAATGGCATCTCTAAGTTATCTGCCCTCTCCAGTGCGACCTAATTGTAAACAGAGACAAAAAGCAAGAAGAAAAAGAAACGAGATTGATAACCTGGTCTGATACATAGAAGTCAAAAGTAAACCAAGTTAATCCTGAATTCTGCACGTGCATCCCATGACAAGGAATGGAAACCCATTCCCTCAAATGGAAATGTCAGCCCTGCAGATGACAATGACAACACTCTAAGCTTTTCCTTTACTCATCAAAGCAGTTTAAATATGTTAAGATATTTCCTCAACAAGCAATACTTGCATATTGGAGCCTCATATCACTGCTACTTCAAAGCAAAGGCTTTTGAAGCATGTTCTTGGCTCTCACTGGGAGAAATCACTCATGTAACAAGGATGCAAGGTACAGTTGCAGCAGGTGTCTACACTGCATCGTATCTATTCAAATGAATTCAACACCCGCTGAATTACCTTGCATATTAAGTGAACAAAGTTGTCAGTTTCATTTGTTTTTAGATTTCCCCTGCAGATGATCTAGGGCATTTTCTATGTCCCCTTTTACAGGAGCACAATGTGGATGCAGAGAGTTTGGTGCCTTCTCTGCATTTCAAGGATGTAAAGAAGAGGCACTACAATGTCTTTGTTTGAAGATTAAACAATGTTCCCTTTCTGTACCTCTCAGTCAAGAATTCACTTTCCTCAAAGTCACTCCGAAGAATGTGCCAGTAGCTAATGGAAAGCAGTCTTAAAATTCTCTTGGGATTCCCTCTCTAGTGTTACTTCCACAGAGGTCCACATCTCCACCAGTGGAGACCAGTTGGTATGTACCACTATGACGCCTGGACAACCATACAACATCCAACTCATTACAGTGCAAATTACTTAGTGAAATTTAGAATACTTGTGTGGAGGTTTATATGAATGTGTGCATAAGGGCTAATGGTTTCTCATGCTGTCAGATGATTGGTTTTGAAATGGTTTAGTAAGAATCCCACTCTGAAGTCTCTTGATACATCAGAGAAATACAAGGAAGAAGGAGATGAGTTTGTTGCTTGTTGTGGATTAACTCCGGTAGGCAGTTAAGCCTCACACATCTGCAAGCTCACTCCACCACAGTGGGATCGGGGACAGAATCAGAAGGGTAAAAGTGAGAAATGCCATGGGTTGAGATAAAAACAGTTTCATAATTAAAAACAAACAAAGAACAAAAGAGACAAAACCAATAAAAACAAACAATGCAAAAACCCCTATTGCTCACCACCAATCAACACATGTCCAGCCAGTCACCAAACAACAGCAGCCCCAGCCAGCCTTCACACACACACATACACATGCACACCAGTTTTATTGATGAGCACAATGTCATATGGCATGGAATATCCCTTTGGTCAGTTGGGGTCAACTGTCACAGGTGTGTTCCCTCCCAGCTTCCTGTGCACCCCCAGCCTCCTTGATGGTAGGGTGGTGTGAGAAGCAGAGAATGCCTTGATGCTGTGTAAGAACTGCTCAGAAATTACTAAAATATCCCCACTTTACCAACACTGTTTTCATCACAAATCCAAAACACAGCACCTTAAAATCTACTATGAAGAAATGCATCTCTATCCCAGATAAAACCAATACATTGCTGGACCAAATAGTCTGCGGGGAATAGTGGAAAAAGATCTTGAGTGTATAGGGAAAAACTACTAGCCTAAAGAGCTTTATTCTATGAGAAATCCTAATTGACTCCTCTTTACATGAAAATGCTTTTTATGTGTAAATATTTTATCTGTAAATGATAGAAGATAAATTAAGATCATACAGAGAATGGGATTCACCTCAACTAAGTTGCCTAAAGGAGATCCTGTTCAAACAATTTGTCTGGGTTCCTCAATAGCCAAAGGAGAGCGATTGGCAATGCCAGAACACAGTTCATTTCACTTCTGTCAAATGTCTACTTGTTCTCCACCCTCTGAAAGTCCCTGCTTCTCTTCAGTAACTTCACAAGTAAGCTAGGCAACCAATTTAAATTTAACTTATAGGCTTTGGACATCTAAAGGTAAGTGACTGGAATCCCAACCACATTTGGAGAACGCCATGGGAAAGAGTCATCAAAAACAGAGGTCTGGAAAGGAAGCCCCTCTGCAATGCTCATGTGGCAGTTGCTATCAGTGTCTCTACTGTGGAGACTGATTTTCAAATGATGCATACAGCCCCAGCTCCTCTGAACCAAGCAGCACTTTTCCAGGCGGCAGCAGCTGAGGATCTGAGTCCTATACATTTTACATGAGCACTGGTGGGGAGGAAAAAAAAAAAAATATATATTTGGGGGGTAAAAAAAGCATTAACCTTTATTTTAAATTAAACATTCCGAAGTGTCAGCAGGGACCTGTGGTTGCTGAATCCTGGCAGTGGAGATTCCCTTGTGGATTTTGGAATATAAGTGTCTTTGCCAAGTATACAAATGACCTTCAATTCTGCAAGAAAACACCTATGGGTTTCACTTTAATGTTTGTTGTACCACCATATTTAGACTACAGGTGTGGTGATGCGCTCACATAAAAGGTACACATCGGTGTGTGCATATTGAACTGCTCCCCATATAACACTATTATGCTGCACTTTCTGCTTTTAAGCTAACAGAGAAATTGAGAACTTGACTTTCAGCTGAATGGAAAAATAGACCAAATGTCATTCGTTTTTGAAATGAAGGAGAAAAATGCACAAAATTCAAGGAAACTGTATTTGATTAATGTATTCTGAGAAATTCATTGTTGATGTAGGTCAGGCAAGATGGTCTATGGATTCTGGAGGAAGAGATTTGAATACACTATTAAATACAAATCAGATAACTTAAAAAATCAATTTTGTTCAAGGGAAAAAGTTCTCTCAAGCCAAAAGAGACTCAACTAATTATATCAAGAAAGTACATGTAATGCACTGTATATGCACTAGTATAGATTTTTTCATCTGTTCACAGGAACAGGCAGGTAGAAAACTATGGGAGATGAACATAGCCCACCTCAAACAGTGAATTTTATGGCCTTCTGCAGATATATGACTCTGACCTAAACTGGGGTCTGATCAATTTCCATACTGTCATTATTCCCCAAATGAGATGAAAGTAACTATAACTTACAAGCAGAGGCCAAAGCAGAAAGCTATCCCTTAACAGATGGAACAAGGACAGTTCAAAAGTGAAACCTGATCCTGGAATGAGAAATCGTATGAACATACTTAAGCCTTAATATTAGATACATTAATTTAAGATGTAACACTTCTCATTTTCTTAAATGTGGCAGTCCAGTTTAAATCACACTGTTCTGAGTTTGAGTTCAGTTGAACACATTTCCTACTCTCATCTAATATCATATGGGGCAAAAAGGATATTCACCCCAGAATACTTTTCCAGCACCCTAGATCCCAGCAAAATGAAATGAAGAGGAAGCATTAGTATCTATATCCTACTACCAAGATCTCATTGCCACTAATTATCGATTATCACAGGCCAATTAAGGAAGTCATCTATACCTCTGTGTCATTAAAGATTTAATAAATATGACACCTGCAGGTAGTAATCTGAAAGGTGCAGCAAAGGTCCTCACTTTTGTAGGATCAACACCTGTAAACTGTAGATGGCTCTGCAGCCTACACTTTATCTCAGCCACAAGCATCTCATGGCATTGCTTGGTATACCTGTAAAATAAATGGTCTTTTTAAATCACAGGGAACCTCTAATTTCCACAAAAATTTAAAGTTTGCTGAAGCTTCATTAATTTTAAACACCAAAGAGGTTAAACACTGGAAATTTAGTTCTGAGTCTGGAGCAAGAACCACATCTTGGTCTTCCCTTTAAGGACTACCCTGCAAAATACAAATAAGAGCCTAGGATCTGTCATTTACTAGGAAGTGCAGACCTTAGAAGTCTAAAGAGAAGGAGTCCTAAAATACCATAAATAAACAATTAATTTATTAAGAGAAAAAATCCTTGGCTATTTCCCTCATTGGTATAAAGGTGGTACTTTGAATGAATGGTCTCTACTATGTATTCTAGGTAGCAGACATATTGACCCACCGGAGACTTCTCACTATTGCTATATAATAATATTTTAAATCCTTTTATTTCCTTCTTAGGATTCAGCCCTACATATAAGAGAATATACCCCTAAGGGACCGGACAACATCTGGTGTATATATAGGGATGAATCACAAGATGGATATAAAGAAAGAAAGATCTCAAATCCCTTGACAAAGTAGCTGTTTCAATCCTTTAAGAAGCCTACTGAAAGTTTATCTTAAATGTGATTTCAGGAGCCAAAAAGTTTTCAACACAATTTATTTTCTTTACAAAAGAAAAATGTTTTTCTAAAAAACAGAGCTGCCATGTGGATCCCCACAGCAGTGTAGCTATTTTCTTTCAAGTTATGGTTGCTTCTTAACACTGTAATTAAGTTTGAATAATGCTGCCACAGTAAATCATGCATTTTACACAATTACTGTACAGAATGTAAAAGGGAAATAAAATATGATGTGAGCTTTGTTAAACTTAAAATACACTTGACAATCACTTAACTTAATTAGATACATTTTCCTCCTGAAAAAGTTACTGTACTAAAGGTGATGTTCACCTTTCCAAGGAAAATAATCCTCTCCCAGAGCCAAAGGTATATATCCCACCTCTATTTATTATTATTACAGTAACACTTCTGTATGAAGCATCACTAGCCCAGCAGCCAGGGGACACTTTCCTAGTCCCAACTCTGTCAATGATCTGCTCTGTGTTCTTGGGCTGGTTATACCAGCTCAGTGCCTCTGTTTCCACATCTATTGCTTGCAAGTCTTTTCCTTTTGGAAGTTATTATAATACTATGTACAGCATAATAGCTAATAATAATTACTGTAATATACATAATTATATTATGTGCCATGTAGAGAATAATAGTTATAGTAAGAAATCCCTAATACTTTAAGGAAATTAACATTTTGTGATTATAAACTAACCTAGATTTACAATTCCCCAGGTTTCATGAGGTTCCTTTAATATTTTTAAATAACGTTTCTTTTAAAGGACACATAAGTGTTTCTTTTCTCTTTATTTGTACATTTGAAAGCAGATTGGAATATGCATAGAGCTTAGACAATATTGTCCTTTTGTAGAGCCTGGCAGAGCTCCATTTATTTCCATGGAGTTGAGTCAACTTACATCAGATGAGCATCAAGCTTTTTTTTTTCCTCTACCTTCTAGAGACTGATTTATTTTAAGCACCTTTAGTGATAAAACAGAAAAACTCATCCATTATGGTTTCATATCTGTGAAACTCATTATTCTTCAGGGAGAACCACAGAGAGGAAGTTCTGTCTTGGACACTTACCAGCACAATACTGAAGAGTAAGGTGGTGAGTTTGAGTATGATGCAGTTGCCTACGCTTCACACAGCCAAGGAGAAACATGAGCAACAATGACTCATGTATTTTTCTCTCCCCCAAGCCCAAGATCTACTGAAAGGGCATCAGATGTACATTTAAAACAACCTGAAAAGACTTTTAGGTCACATGGTCCAAAGCAACAAAGCTACATGCTCCACCTTGTCTTGCAACACCTGCCTCTCTGTTGAGGTTACAAGGTGGTCTAGAGCTGATTATCCAACTTGTACCACCCAGCAGGTGTTCTGAGTCAATGAGAACCTTCCTTGTGTCTCTCAACACACCTCCCTGGCCACTTCAACTTATCTTAAAATGGCCAAGGCCTGAACTATTCTCAGAACTATTAAAGTCTGTCATGAACAGCTTTAATATAGGTTGATAGCAGCCAGGAGCATAAAGAGCAGCCAAAAAAGTACCAAGAAGTTTGATGTTAGATGGGTTTCACATCAATTAAATCTTCCACGCTCCTAAGGTTAATTGCTCATATGTTATTTTCAATTAAAGGGTCGTCTCAAAAAAATGGTCAAAACCCAGTTCAATTCAACTTTTCCCCATGTTTATCCATATGTGTGACCTTGACAAATAGTTCCCTCAGGCCACAGAACCTACGTCTCCCAAGAAACACCATTTCATGATATTGTTTATTATTTAATAATCTAATTTAATAATTAACAATTGTATTTAATGTTAGTCATTAATATTATGAACACTAGAACTAATAAATCCTGATTCCTGAAAGGAATCATGTCTTATGGCTGTAGCTCCTGATATGTAATAAAATGTACATTCCAAGTAAGATCTTTGTCCTGTTTTGGAGGATAGAACATATTCTTCCATGTGGTTTCTTCTGTGTCTAGACTGTAGTCATTCTAGAGCCTTTCCATCATTCAGACTCTAATCAAGTTTCATCTGTTTTGAAATTCCCACCACTCCGTAATCAGGCTTGACACTGGTCAGTGTTTTCACACAAACACAGTAGAAAATCATGATAAAGAATGACAAATAAATGACGTATC